AACATTATTAATATCTAGTGTAAAAGTAGTAGGTACCTACGTATATAACTAAATATTTCAAAAAATACATAAAGACAAAAATATAGGTGCAACATAAATTATTTCATGCATCTTAAAATGTATAAAAAAATTAAATTAAAAAGTTTTATAGTTTTTAAAATATGCATTATATATATATATTATAATATATTATTTTACATATATTAAGTACAAATTATTGCTGTTATTCACATCCAATTGTACTTATATTTAATATTATTTGTGGTTGATATTTCAGTTAAAATTGTATGGGTCCAAAACTATGTTTTCTTATTTAATTATTTTACTTTATCCGTTTAACTAGGTAACATAATTATACATTAATTGTAAATATTATTTCTAAGTTTGCAGTTATTTTATGTTTGCAATTAAGCTTTTTATTTTTTGTTTTTTCTACAAATACATCGTTCCAGCCAAAGTTCTTAAAGTCACRTTTTTTAACGTTTTGTTAATTTTTATTATTTTTATTAAAGTATTTATCGTTTTTGATTTATTCTGACTGAGAATATTGGCTTGGGACGTTGAACCAGTTACTAGCGTCCCTTAGGAGTTTTTCGGTTTTGTGCAGGAAATGATCGACTGGATGTCGTACTTAGCTGTCGTTTCCATACTTGGATTTGTCGTATTCTTTGCCGTTGGTCCTGGCTCCATACCTTGGATGATTACTGCGGAGCTCTTCAGTCAGGGTCCTCGGCCTGCGGCTATGTCCATCGCCGTGCTCATAAATTGGGTGGCCAACTTCGCCGTCGGCATTGGCTTCCAACCTCTAAAGGTCAGCTAACTTTTTAATATWTTGAACCGAAGCCGTTTCAAAATGTTTTAACCGTATTAATAATGTTCGTTAATATAATACAATTAATTCATCATTGTTTTTATTTGTTGTAGACTGCATTGGATAATTATACATTCCTACCGTTCAGCGTATTGCTGGCAATATTCTGGATATTTACTTATAAAAAAGTGCCAGAGACCAAAAACAAAACGTTCGAAGAGATATTAGCTCTATTTCGGCAAAACGGCAGGTGAGATTTTCTAGAAATTATAATTATTTATAGGTATTTTTGTATTATAATAACATTCTTGCCAAAAAATTATTAACACTTAATTTTTTTTCGCTGCTAATACAGAGGAAGCGTCTTGGAATCAAGTCGCTTATACGGGTAAGTGCATGAGCTGAAATTTCTTAAAGTTCACGTCAAAATATTTATGTATTTATTTAATTAATTTTAAATTTAATTTCGTTTTATTTTTTGCTCGTGTTTACGCCCTATAGTATTTACATAAAAATCATGATAATATTGTTTCTTCACTAATATAATTTTTTGTGAACTTGAAAATATAAAAATGCACTTTTAATCTATTATATACATATATACATTCTTCTAATAAAATGTGATAAAAAGGTGTTGAAGCTTTGCATACACTAACATGACTATTCTTAGTTCATTAATGCATGTGTTATTAATTTTCATTATTATTAGATATGTTTATTTTGAGTTGTTCGTTATTATTATTTTTTTTTTTTAAATATATTTTCAGTATGGTAGAGATCGAGGCTAGTAAAACCACGTCTACGATCACCTTAGTGAAATCAGAGGACACACCGTTAGACACGGATAAATACGCTTCTTATACTCCCAACATACAATAACATATTAAATATTATGTTTAATAATTATTAATTTTATTGTTTAGTATTATTTATTTATTTAAGACGCTAGACTTCATCAAAAGTTATTTTATGTATTTTTTTCTTTTGTACATCATTATATTATTATTTTTAATTTTATTCAACATTGATTTTTTATTTTTTTATTGATATACCTACCACTAATATTTTATACAAAATAGCAGAATTACTACGTACTTAAATGGAAACAAAAACAAATATCGAGTATTAAACATTGTTCACAGGAGTATGTTAAACTATTCAAACGCGTTAGACGAGCATTTACCGCCCTCCGAAAGGGCATCATTAATGGTGGCTGAGGAGAAACCTTTGCCAGACTCATGTAAGCTCAATCGGTTCTTTTTTTTATATATATTTATCTACATACACTTTTCTTACATTTTAATTTTTGGTGAGAATTTATATAAAACCATATTAGTAGTGCTGTTATAAGTGATAACGCGTATTTAATTTATAGGTACTCCTACAAAATAATTTATCGTTTTTCATTAGCTTAGTCATGACCCAAAATCCTGCAAAATATAGAATTTTTGCTTAATATATTATATATATATATATAATATATATAAATATCTCGTTGATTTCTTGTCTGTGCTTTTTATATATCTTTTTTGGGTAATGTTGCATGTTTCTTATTATTTATGTAACTACATACAAGGTATCAATATTTTATGATTACATACAAGTAATATTTTAACTAAATATCTTCAATAAAGTATCGGTAGGCTCTTATTATTTGAATAACAATTTAAAAAAATGATCTAACTGTTTATTACGAAATCCCCGTTGTATGTACCTATATGTATTACACTATTATATACTAACCTACATTGGTGTTTGTTTTTTTAAGTCTTATAAACAAACAAACTTTCATTATATGTAGGTACTAGATAATAAGTACCAAGTACCTAGGTATCTATACTTGTAATTTTTATTATTAYTCATGATCCTCAAAATATTTAATGTAAGTAGGTGTACTTAAACGTTCTTGAAATTATCATTTATTTTTTAACTAAAAGTCTTTTCATTGTGCTTATTAATTCTAAAGTTTATATTTATCATAACATGAATATTATGAAATATAAGTAAAGTTCTCTATTCCACGTACGCCATCCATATTGTACAGTTTTATAGTGCTGTATAACATACATTGTAGCATCTAAAATTAAAACCTAAAGTTAGTTTAGTTACTTATCTACTAACATGATTGAACCATATGAATCATAAACATAGATATTATGTATGTATATTGTATATCATGTATGGTATTACAGAAAACTTTGCTAGGAAAAATCTAAAGACTATATAACTCTAAAATATTAAAATACCAACATAAAAGAGTACAATTTCAAAATATGATTAAACTTAAGAGATGGCCTTGGCACCAGTTTTGTTGGTCCAAAAAACGCCTAGACCCCCTCTAAATTCATAATTTCTGAAATTTATTATTTAAAAAAAAACATATTATTCTATCGAAAGTTTTCATGACCAGTCTTCATACTGGTACCTAGCAACAACCAATAACTTGTACTACTTAAGGAGTGTCTTGTAGAGATAAAAATTTTTTGTTTTTTTAAATAAGAACCCCATCACCACCTCCCTTCTACTGAAAATTATTTAGTAGATAATTTTTTTCCAATTTTGACGTATCAAATCGTATCAAATCAAAATTCTAAGAGTAGTGTTTGAGCTATTCAACTTGAGGTACTAAAGATAATAATTCCATACTCTATAATAATGGATTTGGAAGATATGGAGGGTTTATGAATTTAAAAATATTAGTAATTAGTAATTAATATTAATCAATCACAGCTTCGATCTGTCCCATGCGACTATATTAGACTTATTCATGGTTTAAAAATTTTAATTCATTTCGCCACTCACACAAGTGTTATGTAAGAATTTTTTTTTCAAAAACAAAAATTATAAAATTAAAACTAGSTACGATTAACCATGAATAAAAAACATTTGAGTTAGTTATTAATGATAAAGATAAATAGCTGTAGAAAAGTATATCGAATTCTAATAAATTATTACTAATAATACATTAGAATTATAGGAATAATTATAATTATAATTATTAATATATTAATTTTAAATACTATTATTTATTTTACTTTAATATGTATATTGTAATTATTTTGTTTTCAAAAAAACCAAGCCATTGAAATTGTTGTTTTCAATTGATTATTTAGCTTTTTTTACAGCACAAAAACTGGCAAAAAAATTGTATACGAGTATTTTTGAAATAATTTCCCTTCAACGCCGTTAAGATCCCAAATCGGCTTAACCCTGACCGAGATCTACACGGGTCTATCAACATTTATAACTTGTAAAAATGGTCCGAGTGTAATAAATACTAGATTTAAATAACATCTATTTTTTATTCTTGTACAACCATTTTGAAGGACATTATATTATGTCTTATGTTTAAAATAAAAAAAAAAAGAAAAGGGACATTATATTTAATTTTAACAACATAGAAAATAATCGTTTGAATTTTGAATTAGACGTATCAAAATAAATTTAAAAATAAAATATCGACTAAATAATTTACAGTAAAAATGGTTGATGGGGTTTCATTTGAAAATTATAAATTTGAATCACCCAGTGGCATATTTGAGGGAACGATGGAGGTGATTGCCATCAGGGGCGTATTAAATTTTTATTTTTTTTTT